CGACACGGAGAGGAAACGGAAGGACTCGGCGGTACGTTGACTTACATAATGACTCCCCGCAACTCCTCGAGACATATATGTGTATATATACGCGCGATCCTCTGTCCTCGATTGCGAGAGAGTGGTCGGAGAACGTATAAATCTCGCGCGCGGAAATTATATTCGAAGGAAGATGCGTTTATTGTTGATACCGATAAACTCCCACGTCGTCCTTCTTCTGCGTGGCCAAGATTGATTTAGGATCCGCGTTTCAGGTGTGCGTCGAGAGAGGCCTTAGAGAAGCGCGTCTTAGCCGATTCACTTCCGTGCGGCTTTGTACTACGTGTTTTATTCGAAACAGCGTTTTTATCTGCGATGCGGAACATTATCTTGCTATGCGAGATTTATTAGATGAGTCTCGCTGCTTCTTTTGAGAGAAAATTCGCGATCTCTTGCGCTTCGATCTTGAACTGATAAGAAACGAGTGTCGAAAATCGGCAAGATCGGCAATGTCGAATGCTGAGATCATTGTGCTTCATCACGTTGCAATTCTCCGTTACCACCGTCGAAATGCGTCGCGACTTTTTGCCAGCATCTCCCGGTCGTACGCACTCAATGATCGTCCCGTTAGTTCGCCGACGGTAATTTATCGATCACCGCTGGACCGAGAAGAAGCGGAGGAAATGCTAGTGCTAGCGCGGCAAAAAAACAGTTGTTTAGTTTTTGGTGCGTATCGTCGTTAGACTTGATCGACCGTTCAAAAGATGGAATAAGTCTTTATTGGCTCCGGGAAAGAGCCGAATTGACGGTGATTGTCCACGCAGCAAACACCTTTCTCTCGCCGCGTTTCCTGTTACGGCATTCCCGATATCGAATAACCAGTTTCTAGTGGCCGACAATAAGTCATCTCATTATACGTTTAATTATCGCGTGTGCATACCGCTGCTCGTCTGTTGAATAACCGTATTGTGCAAGAGTGTCATCAGTAGTTAATACTTGTATAATGAAGACCACGTACGGAGATTATAATCGTGTACAAGCCTCGACACCTTGACCGTGGTCTCACCGAAGGGAGGCGCGACGTAATAACTTAGTCTGACCATTGTGCGAGACAAGAATCGTCTCGGTAGGCCACAGTGCACGCGTACGTGATGGGTTCGTATAACGTGGAGGCACGCGGCTCGAAACCCCGGCTCGCTCGTGGGATTGACGAGGCATGAAACCTCCATTCACCCAGAACTCGTCGTCGTGATTCCCAGTACAATTCGATTCACTGAAAATCACTAGCATCGCGGAATGCTAATTCTTGAATAACTTGAAACTCGTTTCCATATATATATATATATAATATATTAGTAGCGAGTTCTTCATTACAAAAACGCATATGTCAAATATGTAAAAAAATTTGTATTTATCAGTTTTAAATATGTACTTATTTGATTTCGATAAAATAAATTTTAAAAATTATTTTTTATTAATTAAATTATCGATTAAAAAACCGAGAGCACGTTATATTTTTCATCCGTACTCCGTATACATTGCACGGATGTCGCTTCGATTCTCTTTCATAATAAAAAATTAAGTAGCTTTAAAGATAAAAAAGCAAACATAAGAGCGAATCGAAGCATATGAAGGAAGCTCATTGTATGATTTCTAGAACATCTCTGTGATTATACTTCGGGAGAATGTCCTGTCACGTTTCAGGAACAATTGAACTCGAGTCTGCGCGCGACACTTCAATACCGAAAGAAATTGCGAAATCCTGTCGTGTAAGAAAAGAATGCACTCGGAGAGTGAGATACGTGTTGTCGTACGCGAATGTCCGCGCGCGAATTGTGCGCGCGAGAGAAAGAGCGAGAACCAACGGGAATTCAGTATTCCATGCGCACTCATCATACAACTCGTTCGACTGGGGCGAGGGTGTTAACGAGAATTCGCCCACGTGTGTTCGCGCCATATGACGCTTCCACTCGTCTCGTTGTTAAGCCCCGGTACACCCTCGAGAGACGGCAAATGCGTCCCGCTGGTAATTACTATGATAAACTGCACGCGGGAGACGCATTGACGTTCGCCCTTGCAAACTCTGCCGAGCTTATTCGGTAATCCCGCGTTTTACGCTTTTCATTAACTTTAATTCCACGTACCTGTCGGTGCATTCGATCGTACAGTACTAACAGGCATGTTTCTTTGATTACAGCGCCGGTATATGATCAGGATACCACACAGATCGCAGAGTATGATGCAGGTATGTATATCACGCCGACTTTTACTGCATCTAATCAATCGACATGCAACGTGACATTAATCGTATCGCGGTTCCGGAAGTTATATACGTTGTACTTTGATTGAAATAATCATATATTACAAATGACTTTGACTATACGTGATGTGTTATAAAATTAAAAGTTTATTAAATTCATTAAATTTATTAGATTTTACAACACAATAATACAAAAATAGCAATTGCATAATTACGATATTTCAGATTGGACACATTTATTAATGTTAAATTATTTCTGTAGCTCCTATCGGATGTTACTTCAACTTCCAGCGTTATCAAGAAGGCGATAGGATCATGACAAGTGAACCATGTTTAAATTGCACATGTCACAATCGAATGTTGATGTGCTACCTGAAAGTCTGTCCCTTCACGAAAGGGATCGGTCAGGATTGTACGGTAGAGAAGCGCCCGGATCAATGTTGTCCGGTAATCACTTGTCCGGAAGTACCGGTTCAACTATTAACATCGACAACAAGCGCACCGGCGGGCTCGGATTCCACGGAGGTCGGTTTCCACGATAATTATGGATGCCATGTCAACCAGAGATTTTACGCAGACGGCGCTATGCTGCTGTTGGATCATCACAATCCTTGCGAACTCTGTTATTGCATCAGGAACAGAACCACTTGTGTTATGCAAGAATGTACTTTACGAGTGGCGGGATGTAAACCGGTCTACCAACCGGGTGTATGTTGTCCGATCAAATACGATTGCGGTAAGTTTCGTCTTGCGATATCCTGCTGTTACTTCAATTACTGATTTCCCACAATTACTGATTTTTTTTGTGCAGAATACGATGAGGAATCTAGCACCACGGTTGGTCCGACTCCCGGACTTATCATGACCACAACGCTACCACCCGGCGTGTTACCTCAATGTTATTATGAGGACAAAGTCTACGAAGACGGTGATCTGATTAATTCGTCACAGCCTTGTCAACATTGTTATTGCTTCCGAGGCGAGATTGCTTGCGCGGTGCAAAATTGCGGAACACCGATGCAAGCGCATGGAAAGAATTGCACAGCCTTACCACCACCGGAAGGAGAATGCTGCCCGACCACATACCAGTGTGGTAAGTAATTTCATGTAATAACCAATGGTTACAATGTATTACATAATTCTCCCTTTCTTTCTTTCTATTATTCAATGATCTCCGATAGAAATTATTAGTCAATGAACATTACATATTAAAGAATTCGCTTGTATGTGCTTATTACAGAGGAAGACGAGCAAGGAGTCTCCATACTACCAGAAGAAGGTGAAGAACAACTTCCGGAGCAAACACCACACGAAGAACAAATAACGACCGAGTCTCCTATTATAATTGATCAGGAGGATCAACAAGTGAAAGACGAACGTCCTCAAGAAGAAACATTCCCAGGGGCCGATAATGCTATACCGCTCACTCCCGAGAGAGAGGAAGAAACGGGTGTTCAAGGCACTATCGAACATGTTACTAAAGAACAGATTCCAATTACCGAAAAACCTGAAGAACAACCCGTAACACCACCGACAGAAGAAAACGCTGTACCTGAGACAGAAACTACTACTGCTGAAAAAGAATCCACTCTTTCTCCTGAACATATGACTGAAACTTCTTCCGCTGCGGTGACACAGGAAGTAACTTCTGAAGTACCTTCCGAAACAGAAGCAGCAAAGACGGAAGTGCCCACGAGTGAAAAAACTGAAGAAGGTTTAATTACTGAGGCGCCTACTGCCGAACTACCGGAAGCTTCATCTACTTCGGAAGGCTTGCAACCTCAAGAAGAAGTAATAACTACGGAGCATATATCTGAAGAACATATAAGCACACAAGAAAGCATATCTGAAAAAGAACACAGCACACCTGCTGCCGCCGAAATAGAACAATCGACTAAATCTTCTATTGGCGAAGAAGCACAGACCACAGTTACAATAGAACCAGAAATTAGTTCACACAAAGAAGAGGTAACTATAACAGAAAAGGCGGAAATATCGGAAAAACCAGAGACTTTTACTGAAATCATTGAGAAAGCAACGTCGCCGATTGCAGAAACCGAGGAATCTGGTATTATTCCTGAATCTGCCACTGAACAGATAAAAGAAGATAAAAGCGGAATAGAAACTACACCAGGTGAAACCTTGGCTACAGAAACGGAATCACCAGTAGAAGAAGAAATGGGTCATGAAGTGCCTAGTACTGAACAAGTTGAAGCAGAAGTGTCGCATCCGACGGAAATTGCTAGTACAGAAGAACCTCAATCAATTGAAGTAAGTGGTCTTCCTAAGGAACAACCTATCGAAGAACAACAAAAACCTGTGACAGATAAAGAACAACGGCCGGAAGAGCCAACATCTGAGCACGCAATAATCAAAGAAGAACCTGCCACTGTTGGTGCTAAGAAAGAAGATTCTGGTTTGACTGAGAGTCCAGATATAAGCAAGGAATCTGTCACGGAAGGAGAACACGCAGAAGAATCAACTCCAGAAATTCCAGCTCAAGGTCCAACTGGTATACCAATTCCTGAACGAAGTCCTGGACAGAAGGCGGAAGATGAGAACGTCTATCACGTTACTGAAGATTATCATGGCGTTACGCGTCCAGAAGTTAATCCTGACAATCTTCTAACTGAATCTCCACAGAAAACACCTGTAACATTACTTCCGCAGGAACCAGAAATTACGCTGACACCATCAGAAGAAACTCAGAAACCTGAAATTACTGAAATCACTACGGAAGAAACAAAAGCGGAAACTACTCCTGCTATTACGAAAACTGAGACTAGCACAGAAACTTCTGTAACAACTATTGCTTCTGTAGAACACGAGCCAGAAGAAAAAGCACCCGAAGAAATTGAAAAACCTAGTGTATCAGAAGAACCTAAAACTGAAATACCAGAAGGAGAAGTTCAGTCTACGGAAGAAACTCCCAGTGGTGAAGATATGCCCACAAAAGGACTTGACGTCTCTGGTGAAAGTTCTTCCTCTGAGGAAACCAGTGGCGAACAAGGTGAGAAAAAAGTGCAACCAAAGAAAGAGCAGCCAAGCGAAGAAGAAGCAGGAACACAATTTCCAGCCACAGAATTGGAAATGCCTGTATCTATTCCAGGACCGGAACATTCAACGGTGCTTCCAAGTCTTGGAGAACAATCAACAGAAGGTGAACAAGTCACTACCGTAATTTCTTCTGCTGAGCAATCGACACAAGTGCCACAAGTTGAAGAGAAAATTGAAATTACTACTACTGAAGAAGAAAAACCAGCAACCAGCGAAAAGCCAGTTGAGGAACATGTTACAGAACAATCTACTACATCGTTGGGTATAATATCAAGTGAAGAAGAAAAAGAATTACAAACTACTCAATCTATCTTGAAAGAAGAGCAAACTACAGAAGCTGAAGAAAAGTCTACAACAGAAGCACCTGCTGGTGAAGAACGAAAAACTGAACAACCTGAACAATATTCTACAGAAAGAGGTCCAGAAGAGCCTACTGTTACAGAAAGTCAGGAAACTGAGGCGCCTAAAATCGAAGAAAAGCCTGAAGAAGTAGAAAGTACAGAAGGCATACCAACGGAAAGTGCAGAGACTGAAGTAAAACCAACGGAAATTACTGAAATTAAACAAACAGAATTGCCTGTTACTGAAGAACATCCTACCAAAATAGATGAAACTGAAAAAGAAGGTGAAGAAAAAATCCCTGTAATTAAAGAGATACAGACAGAAATTCCTGCAGCTGAAACTGAATCTACTGAGACACCGATAAAAGAGCAGACAGAAAAGGCACAAACTGAACCTTCCGTCACTGGAGGATTACCGAGTCAGCCTTCGGTTCCTTTAGATCGTAAGGAGGATCAAGAATCTGTTGAACCAATATTAAATAAAGAAGAGCAAGGAAGCCAAGAACAAATAACTCAGAAACCATCTCTTGAAGAGAAGGAAGTATCTGAGATATACGAAGAACCACAAAAACCAACAGTTTCCTCTGAAATTGAAGTGACTCACGTTCCATCTTCAGAAGAAGTTGTTACTAAATCTGCTTTACCGGAAGAAAAACCGACTGAAGTTGCTGAGACAACGGAATCTGTTGGCGCTGGTGAGGTTGCTACACAGCCACCTTTAGAGCAACAACCTGAAGTACCGAGCGTACAACCGGAAGAAGCCGTAACGAAACCACCTGAACAGGAAGAACAGACTGAAGGACCAGTCATCAAAGAACAACCTGAGGAAATATTAACGATAGAAACTACTTCTGTAACTCCTACCAGCGAAATTCCTGAAGAACTAGTTACGAGCGAAAAAGATGCAGGCATTAGTAAATCGACTGAAGCTACAGCAAGCGAAGGTACTACGATACCCGAATTGATTTCTGAAGTGTCAACTGAATCTTCTGGACCTGTTGAAGAACATACAGAGCCTGAAATTCCTGTTGAAAGACAACCGGATGAAGAGGTTACGCTATCATCGACAACGGAAGAAAAACCAAGTGAAGAAGGTGAAACAGAAGAAGTACCTCCTGAAGTATCAACAGAAAAAGCCGCAGTTCCAGTAACACCTGAAGTGTTTATTCCTGAAAAGCCACCACAGGAAGAAAAAGAAGTTGCTAAAGAATCGACGGAAACGCCAGAACATTTGACGCTCGCTCCAGAAGAAACACCTCAAGTGAAAGTTACTACAGAGGTATCTCAACAGTCAACCGAACTTCCAACTAGCATTCCTGAAAAGGAATCTCCTATAGAGAAAGAGAGTATACCAGAGATCACAGCTCGTCCATCAGGTATTCCAGGAGAGGGCAATTGCCTCGTCGAAGGACAATCTTATAATAATAATTCAGCCGTTCCACCAGCGAATTTGTGTCAGACCAGTTGCCGTTGTGTCAGCAGTATTGTACAATGCGAGCTTGTACAATGTCCCGCGCCACCAGTGCACTTATCGAACTGTATGCCAATTCATAGTGCAGAGTCGTGTTGTCCAATGTATGCCTGTGACGAAACATCTACTGCTCAATCAGAAGTCATAAAATCCGATAGTCATAAAATCGAATCTCACATTCCTGAAACGGAAGGAGAGGATAAGAAGATGACTACAACAAAGGAATTATTAACAGAAGCACCCGTTACAGAAACTGTAACATCAAAAGAATCTACTACGATAGTTGGTGAGATTAGTACACCAGAATCCCAACCTGCGGAAGTTACTGTTCCCTCTGTCTCACCGTCAGAAGAAGAGATAAAACCAACAGCGACTGAGAAGCAGCTGACTACTCCTGAGTCTGTCGAATTACAACCAACTACAATTAAACAACCTGTTGAGCAACATCCTGAAGAACACACCATAAGTCCGGTATCTGAAACGTCGCAAGAATCTGCCACTCAAGTGCCTGAAGAAAAAGAACATACTATTCCAGAAGAAACTACTGAAGAGGCGGGAGAAGCTATAACAAAATTGGCAGTTTCGACTGAGCAACCTGTTGAAGAGCAGACTACGGCTAGCGGCGAGGAGCAACCAATAAGTATTCCTACGAATATACCTCCAGAACAGGAACCTCATGGTGCTGGAGAAGAAGTTACGATTCCTACTGCGCCAAAAGAGCAAGAGACTTCCACTTCTGCTGAAATAGAAGCTTCGACATCTGCTGAGAGAGGTGAAGTTCCAACTATTGTACCTAGTAAGGAAGAAGAATCTATTACGCCGAGCAAAGAGCAGGAGGAATCTGGTGAAGGTGTAAAGCCGATTAAAGAAGGTGAAATAGAACAACCAGAAGAAGAAAAAATTCAACCAATACCAACTTCTGAAGAACCAATTACTACTGAAGAAGATAAAACATCTATAAAACCGGAAGAAGAAACTGTGACAGAAAAACTACCAGCGAAACCGGAAGTTTCAGAAGAACAAACGACTGTTGAGTCAAGCGAGTATGAGAGTACTCCTATTTCTGATATTTTACAACCGACGACAGAGCAGAAACCCAAGGAAACTGAACATGAAGAAGAAAAAGAACAAGAAATAGTTACATCAACTGAAGGTGAACGAACTGTTGAAATCGAGAAATCAGAATCTCAAACAAAATTACCCACCACAATTGCTTCAGACAAAGTTGAACAACCTGTTGAATCGACGACTTTGGTACACGCAATAACCGAAGAAGCGCCATCAGAAGACCACACGACTGCAAAATCTGAGGAAGTTTCCACAGAAGAAAGCAAGGGTGAAACAAAACCGTCAATTTCAACTGAAGTTCCTGAAATTGAAGAAGAACACGCTACAACTCCTGGATTGCCTAGTGAAGTAGAAACACCTGGCGAAGAACCTGTTAAGCCAACCGAAGAATCTACTTCTGAAATTTCCCACAAAGAAACATCACCAGAAACTGTTGGACCAACAGAAGGCCCAGCAGAAACAGAAACTACGGAACATCCTGAAGAGCATCCGGAACCTTCAATTACAGAAGGAGAACCGTCTGTCACAAAATTGCCTACGGAAAAACCAATTGAAGTAGAACCTCCAGTCACTACGGAACAATCAACTACCACAGTTTCTGAAGCAGAACATGAAAAGCCCACTGAACCCAGCATTGTTCACGAACCAGAAAGCACTCAAGTTCCGATCGAAGTACATCCGGAAATTACACCTGAAACGGAATCTCATACGCCTGAATTACCAGAAGAGCACACAATATCCGAAGAGGTATTAACAACGTCTGCACCTGAAGGTGAACAGCCTTTGAAAGAAACTATACCAAGTCTAGGCGAAGAGCAAACTGAGCAGTCCGTTGCTCCCGAAATAGAATCCGAAACACCTGTTGTAAAAGAAGAGCATGTCACTACTCCGACTGAAGAGCAAACTCCGAAATCTGTAGAACAAGTTCCTGTTGAGGAACAAACTATTGCTCCCTCTACTTCCAGTGAAGGCGAAGCAACAGAACAGATTACACCAGAAAGTGTAACGATTCAAGAAGAACAAAAGACTACAGATAGTGCTAAACCAGAAACGGAATTGCCTGGTTTAACGGAGGAACAAACCGCTGGTCCCGAAGAAGAAGAACAGAAACCTGAAACTGGAGTAAAGGAAGAACCAGTTACAATTCCAGAAGTTACAGAAAAAGAAACGACAGAAGAAGCTGTGACACCTGTTGGCATTACGGAGGGTCATCCATCCGTGGAGGAATATACTCCACAAGAAGAAGTAACACCGTCCAAAGTTAAAACAGATGCAACAAGTCAAGAACCGATAGAAACAACAACTGCTCAGGAAGAACAGAGACCTGAAGAAGAAGGTCAAGTTACAAGTGAGATCAGTTTACCACAACATCCATTGAGCGAAGAACCGATAACTGTGGCAGTAGAAACAGAAGGTCCTCATGAATATGAAACAACGTCTATTGCAGAAGAAGTATCGAAACCGGTGACGGAGGTCAGCGTGGTAGAAAAACTTTCACCTGAACAGGAATCTGCTACAACTGAAGGTTTAAAACCAGAGGAACCCATCACAAGAATTTCTGAAATAAGTCCAACTGAAAAGCCCGCGGAAGCTTTACCTGAAACAGAAAAACCAGTTCAACAAGAACAGGAAACAGAATTGCCCGAGCAAGGTGAAACTACTACAAAATCAGTTGAAGATATTTTGCTCAAGGAGAAATTGCCAGAAGAAGTGGAAGCTGAAGTAAAGCCAACTGAAGCTCCTGTAAGTGGTGAAGAAGAAGAAGCACATTCTACTGCACCTACTCCAATTGAAACGACTTCCGTTCAGACGGAAGAACAACCGATAACAAAATTGCAGCCTACTGAAGAATCTCTTCCTTCTCTTCCACCACAAGAGATTCAACCTACTCAACCTGAAGAAAGTGAAGTTCATACAAGTCTACCTGCGGAATCTACCACAGAACATGCACCTGAAATACCAGACACGATAGAAACAGAAAAACCAGTTCCAGAAATTGAACAAACAGAACCGCCTTCGGAAACTACTGCATCTACTGAGGGTCTAATTAAGGTTGCTGACGTGTCTGAAGAGAAGACTACTATAAGACCATCATCGGAAGAACCGGAAACCCAGGCTCCGTTAAGACCTGAGGAAGGTCCGCAAACGGCAGAGACACCGGAAGAAATCCTCATAAAGACGCCATCTACGGAATTATCACCCGCAGAAATAACGGAGATTCCCGAAGAAGTTTCTTCTCAAGAGAGTGAGGACGTTGGTCATCCGCACGAGAGTACTGTAAAGCCAGAGACGCTTGGATCCGATGAAGAACATTTGCGACCGATCAATCATACCGCGGAAACGACGGAACAACCATATCAACCCAGCTTCCACGAACAACGTCCAACAAGCACTTCGACTCCTCATATTCCCGAATATCCTGATCAAACTGTACCGGGTGAGAATCCTCACTTCCCAGTGGATGGTGGCAGTTATTTGCATCCCGATGACGATTACGAGGAGGAGGACGACCTTACGGATTATGGACCGGGTACCTGCCGATACGGTGGCAAAGTCTACGTTTCGGCGCAGCAGATACCCAGAGACGATCCGTGCGACTTTTGCTTTTGCTTTAGGAGCGACATCATCTGTCTCCAGCAGAGCTGTCCGCCGCCTATTCCGAAATGTCACGAGGAACCAATTAGCGGCTTCTGCTGTCCTAGATATGAATGTCCCGTATCGATGGCTACAGCTCTTAATTTGACCACCACCACCACTACGACCACGACCACGTTACCACCGCATTTCCATGCTCACGCTTACAAAGGTGCTGCGAGACGAAGCGGTTGTCAGATCGATGGTCATGCTTATCGAGTAGGAGAAGTCATTACCTCGCAGTCCGGACCTTGCACTCATTGCATGTAAGTTTATTATAAAATAAAATCGGGAAAATATTTTCTGTTGCTATAAATATTAAAAAATGCATCATTTTTTATACAAGCTCTGTGCCCATTTTTTTCAAAAAATCTAACACAAATTTTTGTAATATTTTAGCTGCGGAGGTGACGGCAAGATGAAGTGCGAACCGCTAGTATGCAGTCCGGAACCAATGTTGAGGCAAATGATTGCTACGGTTACAGCCAAGAGAAGGAGATGAGCCATCGAACTAGATCACGGAATTCGTCATTACAAAGAAGCATATACGAGGACGAGGAAGTTAACAACTGAATTCAGTGTTGTATAAAAGTGAATTAAAATTATTCTAAACTACCTAAACATCGCGCGAAACACAGACAATAGTGTGCTTCGGCGATTACGAACTGAGTGGCCAAAACCGTAAACACGCGTTTATATTAATAATGTTATATTATGTTATATAAAAAAAAAAGCGACGACACAAGAGAGGAAGCAGGCAATAATATCGGTCGGATAATTATAGATTAACTGCGTATCAAGGCGCGTTATCGGTGCTAATACGCGAACACGGAAGGAGAAAGCGAAGCAGCACGAACGTAGAAAATGTAAAAAAAAAAAACTTTTGTTCGTGATAATTCCGCGTTTTGTCTCGTGGGATATTTTATATGCCCTGAAAAGACGAAAAAAAAAAATTACTGAACGTACGAGACTTATGACTGTGCCTTCCTCAGTGTCGAATATCAGCGGCACTGCTTTTATTTCGGCAACGAGCGCCGTCCGCAGCCACGGTCATCGTCGTCGGTATTAAATAAATCAGAAGAGTCGCCATCACGACTCGCGTAGGTGATGGGGGGGGAAAAAAAGAAGAAATGCGATGAATGCGTTTCGTACGACGCACAAAAAATAAAATAAAAAAAATTTAACACATCGGCCGGTCGGTCACGCAGTGATACTGAAACAGCGGAGGAAAATCGTATGAAGGATACCTCGATCTGCAGTTCGTCTAACTAGCTAGAAGTTTTTTAAACATTTTTCTACGCAGACTACACGTCCACGGTATCCTTCTTATGATGTAACGCTAAAAATTGAGGAAAAAAGTGTAAAGTGAAAAAAAACGAGATTACGACGGCATATCGCCTTACGGCTCTTACGGTATCACTACGACAATCTTAAGCAACGACGATACGTCATTAACACGGTCGAGCGTATTCTAGATCGTTTATTCGGGTCACATTACTGAAGTTTGCTGACGTTTGCGCACTTGAACACGATCGAGATTAATGGATCGGCATAGCCAGCCGACCGTGCTTCCAGTACTTTTAAGCCGTGAGGATCCGAAGATCCTAGTCGTTTTCCTCTAGAGGAAAAACTTCCGATCGAGTCATCTTTCTTTTTTAATTGATCTGCCAAGCGTACGTATACAGTGCCAACGATCGTGTTCCAGTGCGCGTGCGAGTGTGTGTATGAGCGTGTGTGTGCATGATGCATATAATATGTTGAAGGATGAAAGAGGAAGCAAGAGAGACGAAAGATACACGCATCTCAAAGCTCAAACAGCGGCTCGCGCGGAGGACCGATCCGTGAATTTGCTTCTCCGGCGAGCTGGCGTCATTATATATAAATATAAATATAAATATATATATAAATATAAATATATATATACATTTATATATAATTCTTTATATACTCTGTACCCTCCTGATAATAATACTTAACGATAACAATGTTCTATACGTTTGTACGAAAGTATAGTTATCTAAGACGGGATAATAATTGCCCACGCCGGTTCTCCAGTCTCAAAGTGTCGCGCTAAAAACGAAAAAGCGATATCAACCTATGAGATTTTTTGGATCATCTTAGGTTAATTATTTATCTTAGTAGCGATGATACACGACTTGCACGATATCATTGTCCAAAAGAAAGGAGAGCTATCACGCATCGTCACGCTTTGAGACTCTGGAACTTCGCGGGCTCTCTTTAGTATAATAAATAGAACGAATGCTATATCGTCACACAAAATACTGCGCATACTGTCTGTATTTATAATAATCGGACGAAGACGAGTCGAAGTTCGGTCTTCCTGATATCAGCGGCCCGTTAGTTCTAGTACTCGTTTATTGATAACTAATTAAGCTCATATCCCAGAAGAAGTTTCTTGCGGAGAACTATTACGAGAGTGTTTTCTTTTTTTGTTCACGCAAAGAATCTCGCTCGACTTAAAAAAGACCAACGAATAACCGCGGCGTATTCATATGGCTTCCAGGACAACTCGGTCGTGATATACAAAGTGGCCATATTGTTACTGTCACTTGTCAGCTATGAACAAAACAAACCTTCTATGCAGCATCGATAATAAATGATTGATATACATATTAAACAATTTTGTACTACAATTATAACAAAGTTAAAATATAAAAATGATTAGCGCCTTAACATTTTTGTTGAAAAACATTCGAAATTCCAAATATTTGTAAATAAAAATAAAAGCGAGAGTAACGAAAGACCTTGAATATTTAACACAGTCAGGCGATCAATTTGTATGATTTTTGATTAAATCGAGAAAAGTAAAGATCAGTGAACTGAAAATTGATGAACTAGCGCGATTTGTTTGCCTTTTATCAGAATTAAACTTATTACGCTGGTATTATTGTAGCAAGCGACGTGAAAGATTTTTGATAAATAATTTGCTCAAAGCTTATTGAAAGTTACGCGACTGATAACAACGCGTATAATCGATCGTTAATGCGCGCCGGCGCAACCGGTACGATGATATCATATGTATAAGCAATCGATTATCGCGGCTATTGTTTAAAATAAAGTCGAGTCAGTTCTTTCCAAGCCAATATTCTAGCGATTATAGTCTGAATCTAGTATTTATCTTGATATTATCGCTCCTTTCATTCATAGCGAGTAATATTATCGAAGGTAAATGAATGTCGAATGTTTATGAATAAGTACGATATTATGGTATGCATATAGCTGTAATAACGTAAGATATATGACCATGGTAAATACATAGAATGCATGTAAACTAATGTCGAAGTTGAGAGACAGCAAAGTGTCCGCGAGGCGCTTTTGCATCCAGACTTGTGCAACTTTAGAAAGATATATTTACACATTATATTTACGTACAAAGCGACCAATTTTTTATTCACTTATGTCAACTGCCTTCGTACAATTTCTATAAAAATATTCACGTTACGTTCTCGACATATATTTGTGATTCTTCGATATTGATCAATGTCGAGGAGGAATATGATAGCAATATTTAAATTGGTTATGTGTGTGTGTAACGCAAAGGAAAAAATATAGCGTTCGGTATGTGAAGATACTCGATCCTCGCGATGGATTTCCCGACTTTCTTTTTATATGATCACAGTGGCTATCGCGCTCTTATCCCGCATTATGCATATAATTTGATATCATTTGCCGCGTATTATGATATGTGATAAATGGATAAACGAGAGCGAGCCGGAAGAGTCCCGGCAGTGCCGACTGTATGGAAGTAGGCTAGATTTGACAGTACGTGCTAGTATAAAGTGTCCTTTTATATGAATAAAAGATTTTGTATGTCAATCTATGTATCTTTGTGCATTATTTCGCCATTTAGATATTTATCATCTTTACTTGTTCTTCAAAGAAAAAATTTCTGTTTAATAAAAGAATAACAATCATGCTATAATTAGATCATTGTACTGAAAATTAATTAATAATTATAATGATAATTATAGTGATAATTATAGTCATAATTTTAATAATGTAATAAAACATGAAATTTAATTTACTGCAATAGATAATGTTTTTTCTTAAATCAAGCTAGAAAGAATTTAAAAATATCAGAATATATTTTCTTAAGGCAAAAGTTTAGTTTAAAATTATGAAATATCACGCGGTTCGTTTCCAGTGTTCCGATGTTTAGCACAAGCAGTCTCGTAACCAGCATAAACACAAATGTAATTGAACATATGGCACTATTTATATAAGATGCTTAAGTAATAACAGAGAGAAACCTGAGAGGGGCACCACGCTGCTGTTTTTCGTAAGACGCTTTTTCTAGGCCGTACACTAGCGACGCGTACATCTTTTTATTAACCAGGGCTCTTTTACCGTCCCGGAAAATGGATGTGGCCATGTAGTTCCAGGCAGGCTGTAAAATGGATGTACGCGCCGCTAGTGTACGGCCTAGAAAAAGCACATTATATTTATGAATATTAAAAACTATTTTGTTCATATATTTTCGATTTTGAGACATATCCAGCCATTGGTACATTTAGCTCATTACAATTTTTCTTAATATATTATCCTGTATTCCATCGAAATAATATACAAGATAATACAAAATAAAATAATATGTCAATATGTCAATAATATGCCAATAAAATCATTTAAACGTTTAAAAGTTTTATGAATAATGGAAAAAACTTTTTAAAAAGACTAGTTAAAAAGAGCTGAACAATACAATTTTTCATTTATAATCGAAAGTATCTTTTATAATTCAAAAAGTAGTAATATTTTATTAGTGAAATTTATTAATCTAAACATTTAAACGTCTAAACGTTCAAACTTTTTCATAATTTACGCAAGAAACATCTTCCGTTTTTTGAAAGAGAATCTTGCTGTTTACCCACCCGAAGTCTTATCATTATCTTTGTCATCAATAAACTACAAACTAACTGCCAAAGCAGAAGTTCCAAAATTTATTGACAGCAAAGAATTAAAAAAAAAAAAAAAAATTAACTTTAAACCTAT